TCTCTGCGTACTTCTGTGTGTGTGTGTATGTGTATATGTGTATGTGTGACCGCGTCCGTCATCCCCTCCACCTTCGCACGAAAGTGTCTGTCGTAGAGCGCCTGGCCGTCGCTGCTCTCGACAAAAAACGCCCTCGCCTCCCCGTAGATCTCTGTGTTCGCGCTGCTGCCGTCGGGGTGGTCCATATGTGGGGCGATCAGCAGGGCAGCCGACAGTGAGCAGACGGGGTACGCCGACTGGCAGGCGGAGGGCGGGGGTTGGCGCCACGGTCGTGCTGCTGCAGGTGGCGGTGCGGCTGATGACGGCCTCGGTGGTGGCTGGGGCCTTTCTGAGGGCAGCAGGGTCTCCGTGAAGGGCCGGCACTGGGGCGGGGTCGGCAGCTGCCTCGCACATTACACATGCGACATGCCCATTGATGTCACGTCCTTGTCTCTGTTACATGTATCTTCGTACCATGGCAGCTCCCGTTGCTCGTTGCACACGAAGCACGGTCATTTTTTGCCCGAGACATCCAAATATAAAATGTAGACAACAATCCGTCGAGCGACCTGCACACACACTCGCACAAACACAGCCCCACTCACGAATCGCATCCAACAGTCCTGCTTGGCCCCCCTGACCCGCCCCGTGAACCTCCGTGATGAGGCGGTCCACCGACGACTTGGTGGCACTCCTGGCGTCGTAGAACCCATCTGCGTCGGGCTGCCCACATCTCGCCGTCCCTACCTGCTGCTTCACCAACTGCTGCCGCCACCATGAAAGGGCTGCCGCCCACTCTACCCCGGGGCACGGATCGTTCCCGTGAACCTCATCAACTTGATGAGGCGGGGACCCCCAAGGCCGCACTCAGTCCTCACCGCCACCAGCAGCAGCGTCTCGGCTCGGGTGACTCCTCCCTCCTCAGGAGCCGCATCGGCGGCACCATGGTGGGGGGCGGCATGGGGAAGTGCGGTGGTGGTGGTGCTGCCCGTGAGGGAAGAGGGACGTGGCGGGTTGGTGCGGCTGCAGGTGAGGGCAGGGCGCGGCGAGGTGGTGCTGCTGGGAGGGGGAGGGAAGGGGTGCTGGAGTGGGAGGGGCAGGTGCAGGGCTGGTGCTGGCAGGGGCACGAACGGGGGCGGGACGTAGGGCGGGGGATGGGCGCGACGGAGCGGCACGATTGGGGGCGGGACGTGGGGAGGGGGGTGAACGCAATGGGGAAGGCCTCCCACGCCCCGCACCACACCGCCTCGCGGGGTGTAGGAGGGCTGCACGTGGGGTGGCGCAGCGCAATAGGGCCGCACAAATGGGACGCCCAGCCAGCCATCATCGCCTGCACCGCCGCTCTCGACGTAATCCCTGCACCCGCACATAGGTAGGGGAATGACAGACAGACCCACACTCGTCCCGGCCTTTCCTCACCGGAAACTCCATTGCCAATTGTGACGATGGCTTGCAGTCCTCGCAGCGGTTCGGCGCAGTCGTCAGGGAGGACGAACAGCTTGAGCGCTGCTGATACGATGCCGCTGACGTGAGGCAGCTTGGCCACATGGGTGGAGCTGAACACATTACACAACCAACAGAGTGTAAGTGAAACTGTCTCGATAGTGCCTGTCGTGTGCTCATGAGGCGGCTTATCTTTCTTGCTCGATTATCCGCAGCTCGTCAGGTGACCCGTCTCCCGCTATGACGTGCTTCTGATGACCCGACACAACACGTCCATGTTCATCCATCCATCCATCCAGGCCTCCCCCTCCCTCCCTCTCTCACCTCAGAGTGGACAGAAGATAGAGGGGGCAGTCGGAGTGAGACGTCATAGAGTGCCGAGCAATGCAAATATAGGTCTTGACAGATATAAAACGGAGGCAGCGATGTGCAGACCTGACACACGCAGGCACACGACATAATATCTGTCCGCCCATTGCCTTTGTGCATGACAAGCTCACTCAGTCACTTGGTGAAGTGCCCTCTTCTCCCTCTTCTCCCTCTCAGCCCTGATGGCGGCCTTCTCCTCCTCCCGCTGCTGGCGGTCGATTGCCTTGCGCTGCAGGTAGTTGGTCCTTTCACATGGCCTCCGGCTGCACTCACACACACACACACACACACATACACACACACAGCCAACAACGCGAGTGGAGGAGTTGGGAGTGGGTGGGTGAACAGGGAGGCAGGCAGGCAGGTTGGTGATTTGCTGTGTCGTGTTGTGTTGTGTTGTATTGTGTTGTGTGTGTGTGCGTGGTATGCATGCCATGGTGGCGTTGAGGATCAGTTTGGCCGCACCCTTGGGCGGCTTCTTGCCCTTGCCGTCTGCACACACGGATCCATCGATAGAACTTGTCATGTATTCATCCACGCATGCGAGTCCGTCCACTCATACCCACCGGTGAAGACGGCGTCCATGTTGATACCGCTGTAGCAAGAACGACGGCTGCCGTGCGCCTGGGGCTGCGATGCGCTCGAGGAGACACCAATGCTAACCTGACCAGAGCAGACCAAGCCGCGGCAGTTATATGGAGAACATGCAGCCGGAGAGACATGCATATGACGTCCCCCTTTCTCTTTTCCACCTTCCTCCCTCCCCCTCCCACCCTTCCTACCATCTCCTGAGCAGATTCCATGAGGAACTCGCTAGCCTTGTCCTTATCTCGCTAGCCTCGGGGGCCCACCGAGCCGCTCGACAAGTGACCTTTGGGGGCCTCCCTGCTATTGAGAGTCGACCCCTTCAGCATCCGCGCGGAGACATGGAACAAATCGACGCCAAAATATAAAATGAAGGCAGCAATTGGTCGCCTAAGACAGAGACAGAGACACAGATACCCTACACAGGAACCTGAACAACCTCACGCTCACGCTCGCGGCTCTCCTTCTCTTGTTGCTGTTGCTGGCGGGTGCTGCTGCTGGCAGTGGCATCCTTGGCCTCCCTCATCTGCAAAACGGCACCGCACAGCGCAGCAGAGAGTGTCAGGTGTTGCGTGTGTGGTAGATGTGCGTCTGACGTACCTCTCTCTCCAGGTCCTCCTCGAATTTGACCAACATGGTGCCAACGTCCCTCCCCTCCTGAGTGCCGCGCAGCGAGCCCATCCACTGGGCGTACTCCTGCAGTGAGAGAACAAAACGAATGAATGTCGTCGATGCCCCTGGTGCCATTGCGCAAGGGTGACCGTGTTGGCGGGCCTGGGTGGCAGGGCGAAGGGCGGCATGTACGGCGGCGGCATGTAGGGCGGCGGCATGTAGGGCGGCACGTAGGTCTGCGGCATGGTGGTGGTGAGGCCACTTGTGGCCGCTGCTGGGGCAGGGGTGTGCTCCTGTGTGGTCTGCTGCTGCTGGGTGGTCTGCTGCTGGCGGGTGGTGCTGGCGGTGGGACCTTTCGCGGCCGTGGCGGCCTCCGCATCCTTGGCGGCCTCCCACTTCTGGAATACAGCACACAGAGTGTCACGTATTCCACGTGTGGATGGATGTGCGTCTGACATACCTTCTGCAGCTCCTCTACGTATTTGAGGGCCATGACGGCTATTTCCGTCGCCTCTT